TGGATCATGAGTTCAGTGTTACAATTCATCAACAGATCACATCTCTTAGACAGATTTCCATTTACTTAATTTTATCATTTATTATCAATGATAATAGCAGCTTCATTATAGGTCTTTTAGTAAACATTTATAATAATTAATTAGCAAATAGTATCAAATGAAAGCACCAAAGACTGGAGATAACTAGCTATTTGATACAAATTGACTTAAATTTTACTTTTTATATTCATTATACATTTTATGACGAAGTTGCATTGAATTAATATGTACAATTATATTTCATTTGATGAATTGTACATAAGTAAGATGATTTACATGTATAACATATATTTATGGAGAACAGTGGGTATATATAATATATTGCATCCGATGTCTTTCACGTGGTGCCGCTAATCAAAGGCAAAAATCTATTTAGCCATACTTATTAAAACATTATCCACCCTGTTACTATGCATACTAACTATACTTTTCGATTGAACGGGAATTCATTAATGACACCCTCTGCTCAAACGGGCATTAATATAAGCAACCGACATTGACACTTATTCAATTCTGCAGAACACATTAACAAAATCATCATAATTATAGGTATATGCCTTCATTCATTTACGAAAGTATGAAAGATAAAATTAAAAATATCATTTCAATTAAATGCTATATCAATAATGCGATTTGGTTATTTAATATCTTTGCATATACATGCATTTATATGAAAATATCACTCAAATTGTTTTAACATGGGTATTCGGATTAAAATATAGAATAATGCAAAGAATATTGTTTCATACTGAAAGAGAAAGAAAGAAAAAGCAAAAAAACAATCGGAAATTGAATTCCTCTGAACGAGAGGCACATTCTCACAACCTTTAGCAACCGCTCAGCAAACTGGGTGTTAATCTGATAAACGACCAATATTGTGTACCTTGTATCTTTCTTAGGGGGTCTGTAAGAATGACATATCGACACAATAACGAAAGCTTAGTGTTATATAGTAATCTTTCTTAAGGCACGGAAACACGTTGTAAGAATAAATGGGCTAAATCACAGACTTTAAGTAAATATTGTTTCTCTCAAAAAGTATTTAATTTTCACAAGCATTACGTGAAGATTGTTTTAGTCAAGTTGTTTGACTGTTGCAGATTATACTGTCATAAATAATTACATTCATAATATAGATTGATTGCAGTTGCAGTAAGATGTAATCCATAATACTTTAGGATACATCTCAGTTTGTGACAGTGGCATTGAGAGTGCATTTTTTTTTGACAATCGTTTATTTAGTCAATATGTGTTTAGATTTAAGAGATAAAAATAATTTTATTCTCATTTTTTCACCTTGAGCATTTCAATATTTGGCAGTACATTTTATTATTATGAATATTTAAATTGGAATTGTCTTAATTCGTCACGGGAAATAGCGTGAGAAAATACACTGATGTTACTATTCTTGTAGCTTACGTCAATGTTAACTTAAAAAGGTCATTTATTAAAAAGGAAAATAGATTGGTCAATAAATTGTTATATTCAACAAACCCATTATGTGCCATTTTTTATTTTATTTCTCAAACATCTATTTCAGGTTGCTTAATATTCATTTTATAAAATAAGTTTCATGGAAATATTGTCATAGTTTAATATTTTCAAATATTTAAAATATGGATTTGGCTATTTTGAATGTATATAAACAAATTTGAGCATGTTTCAATTCTTTATTTAAAGATGCACATCATACAAGCTTTCATTTTACTAATCATGGTTTAAAGTAAACCATTTATGTACGTATTATTTACATACAGACATCTTACTTACATTTATAAATGATATCCAGTTTTTAATCTTTTTAAATCATGCGAAACAAAATAAATTCGATAGCATCTGCATCGTCGGAGAAACTATTGTAAAAAATGGTCAAGATAAAAAAATTCGACAAAAACATTATTAAATTATGATTAATAGAGGTTTTAAAACGCTTAAATTTTGATAGACCTTTTACATATGTTTTTTTTCAGTACAGCTAAACAATGAAAGTAAATAAAAATCTAAACCTGCTGAAAAAAATTCCATACCGTGTTTTATATAATATTTATCGTATTATTTTATTTTATAAAATCATCCTTGGCTAGCTATTAATGGTCACATTTTGAACATTATTGTTTATTGGAAATACGTTTGTTGATAAATATTCTAATGACAATTATTCTTATTTAAAGGAACAACCATCCAGGAATAAATATAAGGGTCACGAAAACAAGTCGCGCAAAGAAATCATTTTGGTTTTATTTTATATTCGCCCTTTAACTCATGTACGGACAAAGTCAAACGTGTCTCTCTTGATAATCCGTGCACGTTATTATAAATGACATATAGTAAGATTTATTATAGCAACGTGATGCAAATATTCAAAACTGTCACGCTTTGTTAGATAACCATTACACTATGATATCGCTAACCCTGTAAAAGTAACATTAAAATATCATTCTAGTCAAGTTTACGCCAAAAAGTTTGACAAGGCGATGACATTTTTAATCTCATCCCAGCTGTCAATGTAAGAAAACACTGTGCACCATTGAAATCATACTAACTTAAGTTGCGTTTCATGACATTATGTATGTTATTATATCTTAACGCTAACGGATGGCTAGCTATTTTTTACTTGTTTCATTCAATAATTACAAGCGCACATTGCTGTTTATAACTTTAGATATACATGCACTTACGATTCGGCAAGAAATTAATAGAACAATCAGAGTGAAGCAGAAGAGACAACAAACACATTCCTTCTAATTTCAATTTACAACGCCATACTCAATACTCTATATGTGTCACTGCACTGTTAACATTATAGTCAAACACTTTTTAATACGAGCTTTTTATTATTAAGAACTGCTTTATTCTTAAAAGAAGACACAGTCAAAATTTTCATTTCTTCGGTTTGAATTGTTCATTCATTATTCTGCAACAGTCCTCAAAATAAATACACTAGGCTGTCACAGGAACAAATCTTTTCTCATTATAAAGAAGAAAATGGTGGTTTCCTAAATTGATTCACGGGGTCAGGTTAGAGCGTTAAGATTTGACAATAGTTGTCAAATTGAACTCTGGAAACGTTAAAGAACATGTCAAATGAACGACTTAGGCTTGTTTAAATCATACAATATCCAAAATATTTGTTATTGTAACTTTCGGGGTTTGTTCAAGTCACTTGACTTGTTTTAAAACTACTCGGTGATTCAGTCGGCGTTTAGATTTCGTTCAACATATATAGATATATGTACACTTCAAACCTTTAATATATAGAATTCAAAAAGAAATTGATGCAGGGACTTAAAAAAAATAATGTCATTCATTTTATAATGATTTGTGTGTATAAAATGATTTAAATATTTTTTTATTAATGACTAAAGTATCCCTTTTACACTAAGCAAAATTGAATGTTAAACTAAATATGAGAAACGATGTCTTAAAAAATAAGAATTGCGTAAAGAGAGATATGATGTTGATGTTTTCGGTTAAAGTTGTCAATTGCATTTTGCAGTATATAGAGAATATAACTTTATGTAATGCAGTGAGTTATATGGAATTTACTTAACGTTTATTATTCATTAAGAATGATAATGAAATATATCGAATAAAAATGTTCTTGTTTATGATATATACTTTCATTTACACGAGTATTATGTTACTATTAATAAAGTCAACATTTTTCATGTAAAATATACTTCATCTTGTTAAGGAAGGTGCTTATGGGATTTACAGCGTCCTTCCAAAGACTGTCTGACTGACAAACTAACCGACCGACCGACTAACCAAGTAACTAACTAATTATAAAACTAAGTTACTAACTAAGTAACTAACTAAGTAACTAACTTACTAACTAACCAATTGATTCGTCAAGCGAATTTTCATCAGTTCAATCGATGCGTGCTTGCTCGTCCTCCGTTTGATTTATGATTTCTTGATATAAGTATCATTGGTAAGTCACATAATTAAAAATTGACATTATTAAACATTCCAGTACGTTATTAAATTATTAATTCAAATATCTGTATTTCTGTTACGTTTCTTTGTCTATTAGTGTTGTTGTTATTGTTGTTGATATTCATTACCAATATGTTATATTTTTTAATTGATGTCAAAACATTTTGTTTCCAAATTTGAAATAAAGAAGTTTCCTTCCCTTCACTCATGAACAATTACATCGAAACTCTTAAACTACTAAATGTATTTATGCAAAGTTAATTAAGTCCAAACAATGGAACATGTTAAAATGAGGTTGCCAATACATTAGATGCAAATTACTCAATATATTTTAAATTTATTGCAGATATAATTATGATAACAAAAACAATAGCAAATGAATATCACACTTAAACAAAAGTATAATCAATATCAAAATTTAAGTAGTTTGTAACGTGTGTTCTTTACCGAGATAAACGTTATATTTCATCATGAATTTCTAATAAAGAGATAAAAAATAAAGGATATTTGTTTACAAAGAAGAACAACTAAAACTGAATGGTAATATTGTTTTGGAAAGAGTTATCATTCTAAATGTGTGTAATAAAACACACTCTCTGACAAAAAGAGCTATATCTGAATTGCAAATGATCTTAAGAGTGATGGTTTGAAAACATCTGCGGATGTATAAAAATTCAATGTTTTACCAGTTAATGTTAAATGTTGAATTCCGATTAAGTCGGTGTTACGGGGCGTTGACGGTAGCTTCCAATTACCACTACCTCCATGAACAGGCTCAATCAAACTTAAAAGTGTTCATAAACTAATCACATTGAACCTGCAACACTTTCAATTTTGCAATGTTGGGCTTTCTTTTGGGAAACTTATTTCTCTATTTTATAACAATTTGTTTTTGCGGAACAACATATGCTTATCAAAATTAATTACTTAAAGCAGCATCCCTCCAGATTCATGCTTATTAGGGGGTCGCTTAGGCAGTCTCAACTGTATATTGTCTTGACTCTTAAAAAACAGAGACAAAATTAAAATTAAACAAACCTTTATTATAAACAATATTTGAAGACATATACGTACAAAATGAATAAATAAACGCCAGTAGATTGAAAGCTTTAATGTCTGTACATCTGTTTATCTTTTAATATATTTTAACTTATAAATCTAATCATACTTCTTGTACTTTTATACATCTTCTTGTTTTTCTCACAATCAAGTAAATAACAAGTAATATCAAGTACAGAAAATCATAGATACATATAAGTAAATGGTTGGTCTTAATAATCGTGCAATTATTCAACGACAATGTTCGTTTTGATATTTAAAATAATAGCAAGTAATCAATATGATATCTGAATAATTTTTCACATGTTCCACTTTGTAGATTTGTAGATAATAATTTTTCGTATATAATTAATATTTTTAGCCCTTTCAAAAACACTTCAACCACTAAATAAATTATGTCACTCTTTAAAACAAAATAGTGAATACTACAAATAAGTCTTTCCGAAAAAAATCCGAACCATAAAGTCAGCTGTTGACATTCTGAAAAAAAAAGTATCTTAGTTTATGTCATGTTATTTAACTGTACTATATGTTGGCATTTCGAAAGGTCACCTGTATTGAAATTGAATGATATACTAACAAAACTACCTTCTTGATTTTAATGAAGGGTTACATTTACTTATAAGTATTACTCTATATTCAAAATTTTATAAGAAATGCATTGCCGTTCACTAATTAAGACGATAATTTCAAATTTAAAGTATCGAGTTATTTTTATGTTCATAAGTTGACGATATTATCAATAAATAGATTTACAGTATGTTTTAAAGTCATCAAATGTATTATTTTATAAGCACTCGTCGATCAAGGCAGGCAACGATATTTATACCTTCAGCTAATACTCCTTACGTTACCACTTGAATACCGCATGAATTGCAACCAATACGGGTAGAACAAAGATACCGAGTTTCATTGTCAGAGTAGTACCTTGAAATAAATATTTATAATATTTAAAACGTACAAACATAAATCTGATACAAAACATAAGAGAAAAGGATTGATTTTTTTCATAAGTTTTTTTTAAGTGCAAAGTTGCCTATACTTTAATGCACTGACTAAAAGATAACTTAATCCTCTACACTGAAATTATCAGAAACACAGACTTATTATTTTTTTTTATTTGATTGGCTTGTGATTGACTTTATACAAGATTACCAAATAAATTGTAAGTATTTTCTCCCAGTCACTTTTGTCAAATGCAATATATACAAAAATAAAATTGTCGTGATTGACAGTTTGTATATATATGAATATTTTGTCATGTACAGTCATACTGTTGTGAAAGCTGTATGTGAACAAAAGATATACAGTATTATCATTATAATGCCATTTATTACATAATACCTTTTTAATGTGTGTATATACATGACGCGATATTTTGAATTATTATATACTCAATACAATGAAACATGCAAAATATTTCTTTTTGATAACATTTAACAATAAAATATACATACGGAACTTGAATTAAAATATAACATATATGCAAAACATCGACCTTAAACAAATCAACTTTCAAAAACTTATCAACTATTAGAAAATTAAAAACATGGCATAATAAATCAGTTTTAAACATATATAAAACCAGAATGTCAAAATAGAGATGAATTTTTATGTTAATATGAATATTACACAACTCAAATCTAATAAGCTAAATGTTTTCGACAAAGTAGTGTTGCTTGGGTCGTCACAAAATTGCAAAAAATAAAATACATCAATTTGGCATTTCTTCATATTTCTATTATCGAAGTTTGATTTTAGAGATTTATTATTTCTTATATAGTTTATTTTGGTGAGAATATTTCTTTAGATTTATACTTCCAACTACTTTATAACTGATTTAAAACTTATTAAGTTTTAAATAATGTTACATGTAATTCATACTTCTAAACATATAAAAACTTTCATTGCTTAGCAACGTAGGTAACTGTACCTGAATTCTTAGCCGTGCAGAGGTCGACATTCATTGTGAAACCAGCCGAACATGTACACCTTCCCTTACCATCACATTCAGCATGGTCTAGTTTGTCACATTCCTTACCATTTGCCGAACACGTGACAGTATTCAACACTGATGTTAGTTTGGAGAAACAAAGAAAGTCGTTTAATATACATTTCGAACTAAAACGGATAATATTAAAGTCAGCACTGTAGAGACGAGATTGGCATCCATAGAATAACTAATGGTATTTGAAAATACTCTTAAGGGAGCGTTCATGGAATAGTTTAAGTGTAAGAAATGCACATGTATCATAAAGTAAGAACTTAATATATTATAAATTGATATATTTACATTTTTTGCAAACATTGTCCCTCTCACTGTAACCTGTGGTGCACGTGCATTTAGAATTTGTGCAGGCTGAATATGTGGCACCTGTACAGTCACTGCTTCCGGAACAATGAGTTCCTAGCACTTAATCAAAATCAAGAAAAGATAATGATATTAAGTAGCCATGTTATCATATTTGTGTAAACGAAAATAGTTGATTAAAAAATATATGTTTTACATTTATTTGATTACAACAAATAAAATATCGTAACAATACTATCATTTACATTTTATTTGTATAGAAAGTATTGTTTTATTCAACTACTGGTTAAGAAAATGCAGAATAATTGTCAATAAAATGGTTTTGGTCAATAAAGTTATAAATACATTTTAAACGATATTATACTGTTTTTATGCATTAAATGACATTAAATCTAAAATATGCTGTAACTTAAAATTACTTTATTATTGTGCGGAGTATATTTAGACTATGAAAACAAGAAATGTTTGAAGTATATGTACATGATTGTACTTCTTAAACAATGATTTAAATCAATTATCCCTAACCTTTAATGCAAGTACTTCCACTATTTGAATCTTTCTTGTAACCGTCCTTACATTTACATTTAAGGTTGGTAGGTTTATCACATACTGCAAACGGGATAGCACTACACTCAGTTCCCGTGGTTGAACACACAACATTAGAAACTTGAGCTATATCACAAAAACTACGTTATTAAGTTATATAATTCCTTAGTTCCACATAAAAATGAAAATTGTATTTCAATTTGACTCCACTTTATTGTCTATGATATGTCTCGGTCAAATATTGGCCGAATGAATGAACTCAAGTCGATGTGGTTACACTATAAAGAAGATCATTAGCAGACCCCTTTTAATGTCAGACACAATAAAAATTGAGACCCGCGGCTTTCTAATGCATAACACATTGTAATTTATATGCCTACCGATAACAAAAAAGAAACATTGGAATATCTTTAATGCACATGTTGACACATCAATTATGTTAAATATATTAAACAGTCTCTAAAACAGAACACAATTGTTAGTGTATTCATGCAAGGATAAATAATTTGAGGGATTGTAAGAGGAAATTTTTCCATATATATTGCTTTTTTCTTTTGTATTTTGAATAAATGTGTTTGAAACTGTTTTAACGTTTCGCTCAATAGATGTTCTGAAAGTCAACCTTCACATAACAGCTGGCTTGTTTTTATCTGAAACGTGAAAGCTCCTGTCTGGCCGGCAATCTATGATTATGACCTTTCGAACCCAAACGTATAAAATGTCACGTATCAATCATTAATCAAAGTCATGGTAAATTTGAAAGGAAGGTAAGAATGGCAACTTTAAAGATGCATGCCTCCATATGAGCCAAAACAATTGCAAGAAAAATGAATATTGAAAAGAACATATAAGATTGTAAGAAAAGTAAAAATATTCACAATTCAATTAATGAGTTACATAATAAATTTTCAATAAATCAGTTTACAGTATTTATCGCGTAACAACTAACGCAGTTAGGACTATTTTTGCATATTGCATTGTTTGTTTGCTAATTAACGTGGATTGAAAATTTCGTTTGCAATAGTAATTTCAAAAGTACATGTATTTCGAAAATGTTCATGAAAATTAGCATGAACTTGGAGGCATCGTACTTAAAGGTTAACATCTGTACTTCATAATCTGCAAAACTGAAAATTATATTCAATATTTATTTGCAAAATTTATGAGTTCATCCTTAGGACTATTTATGTATGAAAATAGTGTTAACGGTTTCCACAAGGAGGATTTTCATATACAAACATTAAAAATCAGAACTACAAACAAAATCTCTATGCCTTTGATAACATTAAAGTTTAATTATTATTGAGTGCTCATCTATATATCTTGGAGACAAATGAAGGAAATTTGTTTTGTATCTCTCTATTTGATTTGTATTATGATTATTTTGCGCAAATTTCTGCTTAAACATTTACATGTGAAAAAAAATCAAATGCAAATAAATTGTACTCACGAAATGTAATCAATAAAATGTATTTTGATTTTCAAATATGTTGTTCATTTACTGATATTAAAAATAACTGTATTTGAAATGTATTTTTGATTTTTTTGTAGGAAACATCATACATATTTATGTAATTCAACAAAGGTAAACAATTTAAAATCAGCGTGTAACATATTTTAATCATTACAAAGTTCTACATAAATACATTGAATTCGATTGATGCAAACCACCTTTAAGCGTTAGATTGTTTACTACAGTTATCATGTTGTCATATTGTGACCTGATGTGAAAAAAAGAAGTTTAACTTTAATTAAAAACTATTTTTAGTGTTTACTAACAAGAGCTTATTTTTTATTTGTTCGTCTGTACTGACGATTGAAGAATAAGTATACACGCTGAAAATTTATAAAGAATATTTGGCTTCTTCGTTATCCAACAAATTTACACATCCTGTATTCCCAATATTAACAAATCTTAGCGAAAAAAATTATTATGATTGTGTGCAATTCATTATGTGATTCATTTTTATGGCTGATCTTTTAATACGATTGTTCTTTCTAAACAAACAAAAGATATTTAATTTCATTTACAGAATATATTTGATGTAGAAACTAAAAATCTAGATTTGAGACGTTCTCATTTTCCCTGTTCATTACATGTACATTCTTTTCCCATCAAAAATCACCTTATTTGTATTGCTTACGTTTGGTCTGTTGGGAGTCTTGAACACAGGTATCCCCATCAGAAGAGTTTTCAACATAACCGGCACCACACTTACATTTATGAGTTGGAGTGTCACATGTTGAGTGATCAATATTATCACACTCACTACCTGTAGGACACGCTATCGAAGAAACCCTTGCTTAACAAGATAAAAGTATAATTATTCTAATAATTTCCCTTTTCATTAAAATGGTTGCTTAAGTTTATCCAGACAAAATTAAATTTCACTTTGCATGATCTTAGACTTATGATAATAAAATACTTTAATCATTAAGGAAGTCTAATTTATTTTTACTTTTGGTTTTATATTGTTAATTTTGTTCTTGGTTACAAAACATTTGTTTTATTCAAATAGCACATATTGCTGACTTTTTCCAGTTTAAGTTAAGAAAAAAATAAGAACAAATACAACATTTTAAGAGAGTTGGTATCGATTAATCAATAAACAAACCGCTCTTTACATATGCTTCAATTTTCGCATAAACTCTCCAAAAAAGTCAGCTGCGAATAAATAAACATCTTCTTTTCCAAACTTGCATCAAACATTATTTGACTTGCTTGGTTTTTAAAACAATTTGAAATCACAACAACAATTTATTTATAATTTGTCCCTCACTAGCTAGCAGTCACAAACTGCCTAATCCCCCGCCGAACAAGAAAACATTGTAACAAAACGATTTAAAACGCAAACACTGACATTTAAATACACATTAAAAGGCAATGAAAAAAATACAAACAATTTTATATGACAGTTTGTTTACCCATTCAGTTTCAAAGTGATTTTTCTTGAACATTTTGAATGGTAGCTTAGACAAAAGAATTACACTGAAGATATACCCTATAAATTATTTATAAAAAAAAAGTTCCTTCTACCTTTTCCTTATAGACAACATGTTGTATTGATTGTTCTTTGTTAGCATGTGTATGTAGATTAATCTACATAATATCCTGAATAACTACGTTTGACAATCTAACACCTGACAATAGTTTTAATGTAGTTTCTTCTTACAGGAACATTCAATATATTTCATATGGGATGCATTTCCCGTTTGACGCATCCCATTTGCAATTCTTTTACGTAAAATAATGAGTCACAATATGCACACATGCCAAAAATAAAGTAAATATTGACTGTAATACATGCTTCAAACTCACAAATCCTTCTTATTCGTAAAATCAAGTTCGCCAACTGACTGTGAATTCTTTTATAAACAATGCGTCAATAGATACGTCCTAAAATGCATGTGCAAATAAGTAAAAAATTTAAACATAATTACGTTTTGTGCAGACGTTGGTTTTCTCTACATAATCATCAGCACATACACATAAAGAATTCTTGCAAACTGTATTTGCGTCACCAGGACATGCAGCAGTTCCTGAACATGATCCTCCAATTACTGCAAGTAAATTATAATAAATTAATTATCAATAGTTTTCTCTGAAGCAAGACAACAATTTTTGCAGAAGATAAGGTTGACATTCTTTAAAAAGAAACACCGTGAAACAGCTTACTTTATTAGTTTATCGGTTTGAATTAGTATGGGAGGTCTGACTAATGCCCTCACAAAATATATAATAATAAATCTGACTTCAAGCACTTTAAGATATTGCTGAAAGCCATTCTTATATCACATTTAAGTGCTTATTATCTTGCAGTCAAATTTTAAATGATTTGCTGAAATTAGCCATAACTTTTAAACATTTTCATCTTTTGGCGTGACGAAAAACTTGCACGCTAATAAAACTATTTATGATCACCTGTAATACACACGCACGTTTTCAGGTATTCCCTTGTTGATTCGTCCTAGATTATTCTCTAAATAATTTGGAAGAGAACAGTTTGAGTATATAGGAAAGATTCATATGTCGTTACTGTTCACTTTTTAAATTGTAATAGTTTTGCAATTATAAAACCTTATTTTTCAAACACAGTCTCAAATACTCTTACTATGAGTATCTCTTATAAACATGTTGATTTAAACGAATGGATACTAGATTTTGAAAAGTTCAGGCTTACTATACAGTAATTATTTTATTAGTGCACATGAACACTATTTCGGTGACACATCAGGTCTTACACAAAATATTTGTCTCGGTATGATACAAGTTGCATGCCTGGTTAACAACATGCAAGGACTTAAGAAAATGTTGCTACAATGTAGCAATTGAGAAAACAATGCGCTCATTACAGATACCTTGCCAAACCATTCCAACGCACAGGTCATTTTTTATTTAGATCACTATTGTAAACAAGTAGAATTTTTGATGCTAAAGCATCAAGTCGCCGGATAGAAATATGATTGTATTATCATAACTAAAAGAAAATATCAGTTTTAATAGATCGAGTATAAAGAAAAGAGGAACAATAAGTTGAGTAATGTTTATTCATAAACATGTTTTCATGTACTTGCCAGAATTTTATCTTTCTTGCTATAAACTTTGTAAAAGAGTTTTATGCAATAAATTTATGTTATGTTATAATAAAACATCATATTTGAAGCAAACTTGCTTAGCAATTTTGTCAAAGAAGAAAAAGAAACTGTTATCATTTATTATAAATTATTAAATAAGCAAGTATTGTTTGGCAATATTTACCTGAGACTCATTAATTTTCGGGAGGTGTTTCGTTAGTTTTCATAACTTATTATGATTAATGTTAACGATTTTATTGTAAGTATAATTACATGTATGTAACAATTAATACTGCTCGATGGCCTAGTTGTAAGTATGAAGAAGTTGTAACCTAGTAGGCGCAAGTTCGAATCTTGGACAAATCCTATTTGTAGTTTTCATAAATTGATCTTTTAACTATATGAAACATATTTATTAAGTTGATAAATCGTGTGTTTCATTTCTAGCACTTTTTTGTTTCATAATTTTGATAAATTTTGCAAAATACAAAAGAAAATCATAGAAGAAAGCATAAAAAATCACTTTATTGAACCTACTGTCTTCAATTTGAAATTAACTGAAAATCTAACACCTTGTCATTGAGGCTTGTAAAACAAATTGTAATTCTACTTGTAATTCTACATATACCGTTGTAACATACAGTTTACTTCAGAATCCGATAATTACCGACAAATAATTACCGATCATCGAATATTTGCAAAATGACTATGAAAATATATATGCTTAATTATTGCATAAAACAATGTAATTCTACTGTAAACGTGGTGTCTGCATAAAAACAATATTCTAATGCGCTATCGAAAAAATATATAATTTAGTTGAAATCAATATTCCCGTCGTTACATACAATATAGTTAACGTTTAATGATAAAGTATCAACACAAAGATAGTTTATTATTTTTCTCTGTATATCCAATACGATTCCGGCCACCTACCGTCATACCGAGATTTTGTTATTATTCATACAAAATAACCTTTGCACTTTATCAGCTTCTATACCTTGTGCCAACCATTTGCAAGTTACCTGTATGTCTGTCTTATCAGCCATTTGTTACTATTAATAGATTTTATAACAATAACATACAACGTGTAGTCACGTGATTCTTACAAAGAAACAGGGAGAAATAGTTTATAACTAAATAAAATAATAAAATAGAATAGGTCTCATAAGATACAAACAACCAGATAATTTAAAGTGTCATTTCAAATATCATGCATAATTTATTAATCATAAAATAGCAACGCTTGGCACTTTAAAATAAGTAAAAGTACTGAATTCCATGACTTATCCTTTTGATACACCATTAATTCATTTTATAAAACTTGCAATGTTGCTTTTTAAGATGTCAATATCTGAATATTTCATTTCATTGAGCAACGTTATTGTATGTTTAAATTTTTGGGATTACTGAAATCAATTGTAGTCTTTAATCGTTCAGTAACTGATATGCTTTTATTTACAGATTTTAAGGTATTCTCCTACCATAGGTATAATATTAAACTGTTACAAATATAGTCGCCGGTTTCTACCGGCGTCTAATTATTCCGGATGTTTTGTTTATCATTTAAATTTGCATAATTATACTTATCATATGCACCGTCCATGAAAGAGGGACCAGATGAAAATATGCTTTTACTAACGCCTGCCTGGTTAAGAAAATTTTGTTTATACAAACAAGACATGTGACATGACTATAGTGCAACATTGTTCTGTTTGTGTCACTTGTCAGTAATAAAAGATGATAGTAAACTATCAAGATATGTAAATTTTCTTTTTTCACCTATAATGCTACTCATTTTATACAAACATAAAGTAACATATAATCATGGTAAGAAATATTAAAATCCATATGTTAACAAGTAAAAACAAAACAAAATCCATTGACTAGATTTTTCAAAATGTCGTTACATGTTTTGAAACAAATGTAATCATGATATAATAAAGGGGGACAAATGGAATAGTGTCATATGGCGACGGGAAACTAGGCATTGTTTTTCTTACATAAGTTCACATCTAGCTGCATTTGATCTGTAATATATTACTCTGATTATTATAATTACTTCTGAAGCCCATTTTGCCTGATAAGTTATTTTTAAAATATCTATTCTAAAACAGTTTCAGATTCAAAGCTAAAACTACTTCTATAAATAGATTTTCGGATTTTCACAATGTTAAGTTCATCTATTTATAGCTTTCGAATTCATGTAACCATGTATGCATACATAACCCACTGCGTACTGCAGAAGAATAGGTAATTTCCTGTGGAAAATACAAATTATTATAAGAATTCAAGTTTATTTTTGTATTTGTCTTTTATACTGCATTCAGTGTGAAATTTGTTCCCGTTCTCATTCATTAATATGACATGCTGAGAATCGCCGAATGGGAAACCGATATATGACTTTGAATAAAAGAAATTGGAAGAAACTGTTGTCTCCGAATCTATTTTGAGCTGTAAATCGAAGAAATTGATTAATCAAAATCGGGTCCATGGACAAAAAGAATTTTAAACACAAATAGCTCCGCGGAGCAGTTAAATAAAAACGAATGTTATAATTAACAATCTTTGAAAACAATGGTGTATTAATTTCACTCACTTTTTACACATGTGCTACCGTCATTCGTGTCTTCCTTGTAACCAGCGTTACATTTACATTTCTGAGTGTCGCCGCAGTCTGCATGGTCAATATTATCACACTCTGTTCCTGCATTTTGACAGACCACTGCAGACACTTTTGCTGTGTCTATAAAAGGAAAGATATTAATATACAAAAGGAACAACAACAACAAACAAATATGATGAAATATATCAAAATGGTGTCTGACCTGAAAATAAATAATTCTATCAGTCATTCTGTCATTTTAAATGATAATTCTTTAAATTAAAGGTGTACAAACCTACCTTCGTAACTGCCTATAACAGCTGAGTTATAGAATCGATACGTATTTTTAATGAGCATGAGCCTAGCGTTGTTTGTCACTTAAGCTTTTAAGTGGGAGGTCGCAAGATTGACTCCCAGCAACGGGAAATTTTTCTGATGTATTTTAATCAGTTCTTCACAAACTAAATATGTTGTCATCAAACACACAAAATAGATCGTTTGTAATGCAGTTTAATAAGGTACAGAATGTTTTCTTTTTCATTTTGCTTTCTTTTTTTAAAATAAATATTCCGTTAAAACTACGCGGTTCACAATAAAATTAATAATCATCAAAAAGACATAATTAATTTGAAGAAGACATTACTTTGGCATTTAGTGATGTCAGGAAGTCCGAGACAGGTAAAGACCAAAAGTAATCCAATCCCTGGCAAAGCATTCATTTTTCAGGGCAATACTCGACTGAAAAGAAGAGGATACAATTAAGATGATGTTCCACCGAATAAAAAACTTAAACCAGCGTGTAAAAAAGGGCTAAAAAACCTTATTTGGTACATTTACAACTGAAAAAGCCGTCGGACTTTCTTTAATAATAATAATTTATAATATTTTTTATCTTTATATCTAACTGTTCGTGAAAACTTATTATTGAAAGTGATTTGCTTATGGTATTTTGTTTTTAATGTTATTATCATAGGTATTTGTAGATTTATAACATTTTATAAAATAACACATCTATATTGCTAATTGCTTTATTTTGTTTATTTTATTTTATTGTAAAATTTGTTTAGATTAATGCAAATATGAAAATATTCAGATTTTTAAATGGAATTTTTATGGCTTAGTCAGACTTCAAAGAAATTAAAACTATTAAACATTTAAATAAGAAAATAAATAAATATGTTTTTGTCAATAATGAATAGCTCACAAACCTTTTGTTAACTATGCTCTCCAAAACGAAAATGTTCAATTTTATTAACATATTCTTCTTTTATATTGTATCCAAGGATTTCAAGTGGAAACGATAATAAACAAAGATAAATCCAACCAATCTAACTGATCAAAGCATGTTCGATCTTGTTATGATACCTGCATTTGGCTGAAATTGTCTTTTTAAATGTTCACCCGCAATCGGGTATCTCCCGTGGATTATAAATGAGCGACCGATCAAGACTAGGGTCTACAGAAACTATATCAAAAATGTTTTAATCTACAATATCGGTACATGGAAAAATAAATTCGTTGTGATAGTGCTCAACAAAATTCTATAATTTAAACACTCATAATTATGATACTCTACATTTTTTTGTAATATCCTCTATCCTGTGAATATAAAATATTATTAAAGAAAAGCCTTTTACAAGAAAACATATACTTAAAAAATCAATTAAAAGAAAACTATTTTACTTTAATTCAAATTATTCGGTTAATTAAATCATAACATATCGAAATATATTTTTAATTTATGAAAAAGATATAAACAATAAGCGCCATCATGGTCCATGCATAACAGATTATAAATGCTCTTAATGGCTAGCGACAAGTATTCTGGTACTCTTTAAATGAAAAATGGATTTAAATCTTATCTGAAACTAATATAACATAGTTTATAGATGTATACGAAAAATGCACATGTAGAAACATAACTGATTGCTGTTGACAAGGGAAACCAATACTCACTGAATAACTCACTGGTTGCCGAACAGAACAAATGGTTTCTTAGAAGTCAATGCTTGCTGTGAAATGCAATGGTAAAACCAATCGTTGCTATGAATTTAATGTTTGCTATGGAAGTCACTAGTTGATATGTTAAAAGTCAATATTTGCTGTGGAAGTCATTGGTAGCTACGGAAAATAAATGGTTGTTAGGTAAAGACAATGGTTGTTATGGGAGTCAATTAACGGTTTTTAATCGAAAAGAAAAAAAATAACTTGAGCTCTGTGTTTTACACCTTTGGAAGCGAATATTATGAATGATACATAAATTTGATAATGTATGTATAAAGAGGTATTCTTAAAGGTTTCCGTTTATTTATTTATTAATTTTTAATAAAACAGTCATTTTATGTTCAAGAGCACTCCTGCTCTTTTTAGCCGCTTGTTTTGCTGCTATTAAAAATCATAAAGCTTAACTGTCTACTGAGCTGATGAATATACCGCGTGTCCCTATCGTAAGAGGCTTAAAGAAAAGAAAATGAATTCTCCAAAGATATTTATGAAAAAAAATATTTTAAAAAACGCTATAACCGTCCATGAATATTAATGGCCTAAATAAAAATAGCTGTAAGTAAAAACTTTTGTTTTATAAAATACCAATTCTGCTTAACTTAAGGTCAGTTGTTGACATGTATTGCAAAACCTATTTTAATCATTACATCCATAAAACAGATTGATTGCAGTGCAGTCATTTTAATTTAAACACATAAATATTATGGGATAACAAATTATAAACATCAAACATAGATATTTTGGCAAAATATCTATTTAAACAAGGCATTACTATTTATTGGTAATTATGCGTACTAAATAATGCGTTCTTTTTGAAATTCAACACCATCTTATGTGGTGATTATTCTGAATTTCATTTATTGAACATTTGCGCTTTCTTCACCATTATTATCAGTTTCGTTAACATAATTTCATGGTATAAAATTATAAAATATCTAAGAGATGTATTTGACAATTTTGGATGGTTATTTAAAAACATCAACATGTTCCACAGCTTTCCATCTAATAATTGAAAAAAAACCGCTCCATTACAGTTTTTACATACTACTAGTTACAAAAGTAAATTGAATATATCTTTCTAGTTTTCATATTTAAATAACTATCTTTTTATTTAAACACAAGGATATAGTAAGACTTTATGTCTTTTGTTATAAAGTACACATAATTAAAATTCCAAAAGAAATTAATTAAACAAATGGCTGATAGAAATACTACATTGATTTGCCTATACTGGAATGGACGTAAGTCGTATCAATTACATATTTAGAGCTCATTTTACTTAGACATGCTTATGTTTAACAAATTCAATAAACTTCTTAAAAGTCAGCCTATGGTTTGAGTAATTCTCTGTGGATGCCCTTTTGAAAGTATATTTAGTATAGCTGTAGATTGACAAAAAGTACAGTTCGAAAGGTTTTGAAACAACTATACAACTACCGGCTGCACACGCATTAAGAACATTTATTGAAGCTCGTTCCTAAGATTCAAATGTTGTTTTACTCAATTTATAGTTCTAATTGAAATGTTTAAGACTTTGAAAGAAACGAATTTGTGTAATATATGTAGATTTGCATTGTGCTCTGACTATGATACAATTCAAACATGTTTTAAATACGATTGAAACAAATATAAAATATTTTATAGGAATAATTTACTTCTTTTTATATTGTTAATCTTGATTTTCTTTCGATATTTTATGTCAATAAGAAGGTCACATATTTTGAAAACACAAGCGTCTTTCTAAATCTGATAATTTTATTAAGTAAGGCATGACATGACCATGACATTTTGAGACAATGTTATGCAAGCTGTTGAAACTGCCATACTTTGTTTAACCCCCTACAGCTTTGATATCCATTTTACCGGTAAACTGTATTATTAAGATAATGATCAATTTTACGATGTAGATTTTGCAATGCAATGATAATTAAAAAAAGTGTAAAAAAAAAACAAACAAAAACAATCTCATCCGTTTATGTCAGTACAATATGAGTCTGCTTACTTTGATTTTACAAATTATTAAAATGACAAAATCTTATTGCATATCTGGTAACTCAGGAATGTGCAAATAATCCAACATTAATGATAAATTTGTGCAACGCTGTGATCTAAACGAGTAACACGGTTATTAAACGGACCAAAATATTATATCCTAAATCAAGTTTAAAGAAATGAGTGAGGGCTAACGGCTGGTATCAATTCTATTTTAACCAGCGTTGCAATTACTTCCAAATCATTCGTATGGAAGTCTTTTGTATTTCGTCAACGTCAATAAGTACATGAGAGCATTTAAAACTCTTTGTTTCTTCACATTCAGTATACGTTAACATAGCGTGCTTGTTTTCTTGATGTATTGTTGGATACAATAGAAGAAATGAATATGACAAAAGTTAATTCAGATTGAAGTAAACTTTATGATATTTTATTAAAATATAAAACTTTGACAATATGTCTCTTGAAACGGTTTGATTATCATTGTGTCGATACTGCCTTAGATTCAATATTAAAGTGCTGTTTCCTGTTTGACTATTTTCAGTGACTTGAGATAATATCTGCTCTTTATATATGTATCAATTACATTCGTTAAATCAAAAACAAAAACAAAATCTAAAGGAATACTTTCAAAAAAAATCGAGACATAAACGTCTAATAACTAGACATAATTACAAAGGTAAAACATTTCGTAAACAAATGTACTCTTCTAGCAAAATTCATCGACACTGTTTGTGCCCATTACTTTTGTACAGATTTCAATCAGTTTCAATACTTTGTTTCTTACGACTGCAGAAACATCCGCTTCTTAAATGTAAGTTTGATGTAGTTTTTAAAAAAAATACTAAGTTCGGCATTGTAAAAAAACATTGAAATAGGCTATTTACAACATGTCATAAACATCTGCCAAAGAAGTATAATCATAGCTGTCGGGCTAAATAAATACTTCTTTTCATTATCATATTTGTATAATAACGATATTTCCTAGCAACTTTATGACAATATGTCATTACACTTAAACATAAAGATATTCAACCTTTACTTCAAAGAAAAATGATTAAACCATGTGAAGAAATGTATTATTTTATCTTATATAAACCTCCACAAATACGTGTTTTATTAAAAAGAAACACATCTTACGTGAGACTTTTCATGAAAACTACATAAAAATCTGGAAAAAAAGTGATCCCTCGGAAGCATTAATCACAACAAAACTACATAAGAATTGTAAACCTACACTCTTGGATGAGTCAATATCGATACCGACATTATTTAAATTCTTTAGAATATTTATTAATGCCGTAAGTACAAAAGGTTTTTGGTACAATGGTCTGTTCAAATTGACTTGTACGCCCAAGGGGGACTGTGACTGTGTCAGATATGAAGCTCAATGGTCACTGAAATATTGTAAGTTCTCTATGCATATAGGACAAGACAATTTTTAAGTGCGGGAGTGTATCAAAATATAACACTTTTCAGTATATTTAGTTAAGCAAATGTGAAAGTTAGCGGACAAGTATGTGAGTTGCGATGCAGAACAGCAGTAGGTCTCTGACATGACTACAGGTCTGCACATTTTATCCCATTACATTGTATGACATTAAATTCTATTTATCATATAATATCTCAATTTGGCGTGTCAATAATAAAAAAGTGGGGTACAAATCTTAAGTTTAAATTATTTCTAGATTATTGTCTTTCTTAATTTCAATGTGTTTTTGACACAAATCTGAGCTTGATTAGTTAAGCATGTTTCATATATTGCTACCTTAGTACATTCACGCGTTAACTCTATATATAAATAATAAAAGTTAATCCGTTACTAAATTTATAACAGTCACAACGTCCTAGTTACATGATATGCCAACAGGACGCACAAAATCGTTCCAAATCAGCCACCATATATGCCTTCTTTCATTTAAAAAAAGTATGATAGACAAAATTAAAAGATATCTTTTCATTAAATGCTATATCAATAATTCGATTTGGTAATTTTTTATCTTTGCATATGCATGGACATATATGTAAAGCTTACTCAAATTATTTTAACATACGTTTTCGAATTAAAATATAGAATAATGCAAACATATTGTTTCATACCGAAAAAAAGAAACGAAAATAAAAAAGGCAATCGGAAAGAAGAAAAAAAGAATAGTTTTAAAAAAAATGTTTGAACAACCGCTAAGCAAACTGGGCATTTAACTGATAAACGAGCAATATTTTGTACCTTGTATCTTTCTAAGGGATCTGTAAGAATGACATATCGACAAGATAACGAAAAAATAGTGTTATATAATAATCTTTCTTAAGGCACGGAAACACTTTATAAGAATTAATGGGCTAAATAATAGATTTTAAGTAAATATTTGTTCTCTCAAAAACTATTTAATTT